CTTCGATTTGCACGCAAGAGACTCCACAATGATTCAAGTTTGCGGAAGACATTATTACATTGATTAATCTCTGTCTTTCTGCGGCTGGGGTAGATCCTATAGCTCGGGTGGGTCCATTCAATGACGGTTGGGGTAATCAAACTCAAGAAACTAGTAGTTTTTTGTCTGTTGTTGTTTTGTATTTGTTTTTAAGTGAGGGTTTTATAGCTTTTGCAACACAATCGGGTCGGAAAAGTACCGAATATTAGATTAACTGACAAAGAAAAGGAGAGGGAGATAGGGACGATAGTCATTAAAATTTGGTCAATAGGAAAAAAGGAGCAAACTAGACCAAAGTACATGTACACGTCAACCACTCACAGAACGGATTTAAATTTGTCTGGAGAGAAGCGAATTGACTAATAAATAATAGTATGTGTTTAACGCCCTTGTCAATAATATTAGGCTATTTAAGAGGCGGCATCTCCAAATTTAACGTCCACCCCCGATAAGACCGAACCAAATGGGTTGAGAGTCTTGAGAACTCCACAAAACGACCTAAGTTCAAGAATACCCAGTCTGGGATTCGAACTAATGACATCCACTCCGTAGTTTAGCATGAAACCAACTGAGCTAAAGGATCGCCCACGATGCAGATATTAAAAAAAAAAAATTGTAAAAAGGTCACAGTATGCATCTCTACATAACAAAACCCGTACACTACACATTCGGATTCAAAACGACCACCGGGACGCTGTTACTGAATTAAGCCACAGTAAACGAAGTATCTGAGGGCATAACAAAAAAAGTGTTAGATTGAAATCCACAGGGAAAGAGATCATGGAAAAGGTCACGCGGAACAGAGAGAAGGGTCACAGAGAATGGTGGACAGAAAAGTGGGAAGATATGGAATAATATTAAAAGGCTAGCCCAAGATAGGGAAAAGTGGAAAGTGTTTGACCCTGATCTAGGGTGAGAAAGGCGATGGTGATGAAGCGACGCATTGTAGGACTTGGCATTTTCTAGGTTCAGTTTTAGTACCAGTTTTATAGTGCTTGCAACATTAAATATAAAAGGTTAAATTAGTGCCGAAGGTAAGGGGTATTACAAAGGAGTACAACACAGAGAAAATGAGGAGAGATAAGGACAAAAGATGGTTGATGTAGGAAAAAAAGAATAAAACCGCACCAGAGCACCCGCCTCCCACCCGTTGATATTTTCTTTGTTTTGTCTGAGTAAAGAGAAGCAAATCGATACAATAATGGTCATTTACTGCCTGGAAAATGTAAGACAGACAGACAGACAGACAGACAGACAGACAGACAGACAGACAAACAGACAGACAGACAGACAGACAGA